CATGCCCTTCCAGCGGTCCACGAGCACACGGTCACCCAAGGGACTGAGGGCTTGGGCAGGGTTCTCCGAAAGGAAGTCTCCTCGAAGCAGGAAGGTAATTTCATCCATGTTGTCCCTCAGTGTTTGAGACTTGTCCAGCTCCTTTTTAAAAGCTAGTTCGTCAGCCTAAATTAAGTGGAAGGAGAGGAGCGATGTTTTGTCCAAGAGAAAACATGAACTAAGGGATGAAACAAAGTTAACACATCATAACAGATTTCTTTCCAACCTGCAAACAGTTCTCAAAAGCATCACATACAAATACTATGATCAGAGACAGGGAGCTGTTGCTACCCACTAGTCAGCAAGGTGAGAACCAGGAGGGACAATGTCAGCAGAGGGTAACTAGATCCTTGGTTTCTTTGTTCACTTGGCAAAGGGAATAAAATCTATCTCACAATTGCTGAAACAACCTTGGAAGCCAGCTGCTAAGAAACCTCTGTGAAAACATCACTCACTGTACTTTTGCACATCTTATTTTCCTTCTCTGTCTCCACTTATTCTAAGCAGCAAACCAACTACCCCAGGCAATGAGAATGCACCTGGATTCTGTTGAAATCCTTGGTGGCTGTGCAGACAGCACGCCTGCTTTCTTCTTCTTGTCGTTGGAGCTCCAGAATCTTTCGGTCGATTTCAACCCTGTACTTGTCATAAAGATCATCTAAAGGAGATTAAAATGAAATGGAGTCAGTATTCATGGATGTCATGTGTCATGTGAGTTAATCAGGGGAAGGGACAGAGGGCAGCTACAGCTACAGCAGGCTGAATTACAGAACTATTTCCAAATCCTTCCATCCAAGCTTTCCATCTTGGGATCTCAGGTGACTCACAAATCAGTTTATTACATAACCTATCTTGTCTTAACAGTAAGTGTTAAAATGAAAAAGTACCTTAAGTACTGTAGAAAACAGTTTCAAGACAAGCTAGGAAACAAACATCAGCGTTATTTTCTCTGCTCCAGAGCAGTACAGACTGGGCAATTTGGCCTGATGAAGTAAGCATACAAAACACAGCTGGGTTTGCAGCATGCCCCCACACCGTATTTGAGGGGTAAACCAGAAATGGAACCTAGGTAACATTACAATCATCACATGTTATTAAATATTGATTTCCTAAGGGGAAGACTGAATACCTTAGCTTCTACTAATTCATTAGTTTCTACTGCAAAGTAGGAACTGCTGCAGTACTTCCAAAAGTTAATACACAATAGGCTAAACCGGATTTTCATCGGAGAACTCACGATTTCAGAAAAAGGAGATTAAAACTTCCTGCTCTTTTTTGTTACCTGCCAGTTTTTGGTCAGCTAATGCATTCTTCCAGTCTTTCTGCTGCTGAAGAGACCACTCTCTTAGCTGCTCCTTTTGGAACTTCATCCTCTGCTCATAGTTTAGGTCTTCCCCTGCAAACTTCTGCATGCCAGAGATGGTACAGCGAGGGTCGGTGTCCGAAACTCGGGCGGGTCTGTCCTTCTTGAGGGCCTGGGGATCATTCAGGTCAAACTCACGTCTTGTTTCTGGTGTCTGATTCTTCTGAAATTCCTTGAGAGCCTTATTCATGTCTTTGATTTCCCTTTTCTGCTGTTCTTCCAGCAGACACATAAGCCTGTCATTCCTCTTCATGTCATTAGCTAGACAGAAACAAACACAACGAAGACACAAATCTTACAGGTCTTAGGAAAGAGTATCTGAACTGTGAGTGACAACCCAGCAAACACTGTAATGTTAGTAATATTTACTTATTAAATATTTTCATCTTTTTAGGTATAAATTATTTTACTCATGTCACAATGAAATATATGCATATGAAACAAATACAATAATAAATACTCCTAGAACTACGACGTTTCCTTTGGTGAACACCCGTGAGAACACATGAAGTGTACTGTAAACTGATTCTTCCCACTTACTCTTAGTTTACAGATACAACTAAAATACATTGAATTGCTTATTAAGAAGTAAACAAAAATCAGTGTCCCAAATGAAGGAATATAGATAGCTCTTCCATAGTTCCAATAATTTTTTTAAGCATAGCACTAAAATAATTGGCTGGCATTAACAGCTTAATAGCTCCTGCCCATTTATTAACACTAAATCAATTACAGCATTTTTAAGAAAAACAAACAACAAAACCCCCACCCTAAACTAGCCATTTTAGCATTTAAATATAAGTCACAAGGAAAGATCATTTCCTCTGTTGCCAGACTCCACATTGCTGCTGGCAGTTTCCTAAGAGTCAGAGCCTGACAGGTGTATTTTCCAGCCAGGAAGATCCCAAGCAGCTGCAGAGCCGTTGGCAGCTCCATCCTATCTCCTCTTGCAGCCCAGGGAGAGCTCAGGCTGTGGGACCTTTTCCCCCGATGGCACAGGGATGCATGGCAAGCACAGAGCCACAGAGGCTCTAAGGGCAGGGCACAGCATGAAATATCTGTGTGGCTGCATGTTGTGACTCAGCAGGGGCTCCTCTCACAGCCCTACTGTACCAGAGTCATGCCTCCAGCAACAATGATTGAGAGAGGATTCCATAGAATCCATATATTGCATGGGAGAATGGTCAGGCAGGACATGGGCTCACTCTACAAGAAAGCAATCAAAACACATGAGCCACTACTATTCTGAAAAGAACAGTGGTAAGTAATTAAGTTGGGGTTTTTTTTTAAATGCTCCTGTATACTCAGGTCTCTAAATGATGCTATTTGTCAACAGGTATTAAGAGAAAACACTGAAAATTCCAGCCTATTAGGCAATGTATCCCAGTTAATTGACATCAACATAAATCTTAACACACTAAGGAAAATATATATTGTACCAATGCAGATGTATGAACATAAATAGGACATAAATTGGATGACTGAATTTAGAGAACACATGAAGGGAAAAAAGAAAGCAGGAAGCAGATAGTGACATTTAACTGTTCACAGAAATATCATGGCATTTATGAATATACCAAATTTTTCATGTCGTGCTTTTTCAATCGCTTCTTGAATTTTCCTTTCCTTGACCTGCACATCCAGTGCATCTTTATCAATCTATTAAAATGGAAAAAAAAAAAAAAGAGCAGCTCTTTAAGAGATACTATGTTTGAATAATTAAAACCAGGGATTGTCAAGCTACATCGACTCACAATTGCACAAGACAGATATAAACCCACTACCAGCAGAGTGTCTATTACACATGACTAAGGTAGGTAACTTAAAACAAAACCCAGGAACAGCAATATTCCTGTTTGCCTTGTTTTAATAATGGCAGATATGTTCTAGCACCAGATCAGATGAAAAGACCACATTTACATGACCCATCCAGCTAGAAACATTTTCAGCTGCATTACACAGAATATGTTTTCCCCATTACAGCTGGTAATTTTACTTATATTGTTCTGCTTTCATTTATGAAGCAGGTAAGTATTTTGACAGTCAAGATGATAGGAAGTTGTAATAGTTCATATCTGAAAAAAATACAGACGGTTCACTAGAATTACATTGAAAAGATAACAGGGAATGTTATCTCACAGTCTTATCAGAGTGGGATTCACAGGGTTGCCAAAATGCCCTACAGGTGTATGATCTGTGATGAGCCAAAGTTACAGCACAGAACATCCACATCCATGGGGAGTGGGACCTGAGCAAAGTATAACATAGGGGACAGCATCCAATGGGAGCAGCTGCCTCCACTGGAGGCAAAGGAACCAGTCCCCACATTTGCTGGCAGATGGTGGCAAATTATTAGACAGAAATGTGCATTTGATTTCTTATTTTTTTTTCTTTTACTGTCAAGTCACTTAATGTATTTTAAAAAAATTTGTCCAAAACCAATGACAATTCTTCAAGAATCTGGTCAACTACTTTGATAGTCTTTGACTAAAATCTATTCAGATGAAGACAGAGACAAATCATGGCTGAAAATACACATGGTTAGTGCTGTAAAGGACAACTGACTACAGCAATCAGGCCAAGGGGAGAGGTTGTAAGCCAGGGGGAAACCGTAAGGAATCTATTGTCCAAGAACAACGGTGTCACTAAATTAAATATCAACTCCTTCCGAGGTCCCCCTGGGGAAGCCAAGCTTTCAGTATAACTACAGGGAATTCTGTTAAGAGAAATTCAATACAGGTTCATTAGTAGTTTCTGGCAACAACACAGGTGGGTCAGCGTACCGACCTGTCCCACTGCTGGCTGCCCGCGATGCCAACAGCGCTCGCTGGACACGAACCCCTCCAACCCCAGCCCTTCGTGACTCCGGGACAGCCGCCAACAACAACTCTTGGCGGTGCCTTAAAGCATCAACTCGCTTTCACCACCAACTTCAAAAGCGCCTCTAAAACATGCACGTGGGCTCTTTCTCCGTGGTTCCCTCTCACACACACGCGAGGGGGAGAAGGGCAGGCACCGGGGACGGACGGACGGACGGACAGGACCCCCCGCCCGCCCAGACCGGCACAGCCGCCCCTTCCCTCCCTGCCCTGCCCGGGGGATCGCCTCCACTTCCAGCCGTTCTGCGCACACCCCCCGGCGCCATCCCTGCCTCCCTCCCTCGCTCCCTGCCCGCCTCCCTGCCGGCCCTCACCCCAATGGTGCGGAGCCGCGCGTTGAAGATGCGGCTCCGCCGCAGGAACTCCTGCTCCCGCCGGCGCTGCACGGCGGCCGCCTCCCGCTGCTCCCGCAGCTGCCCCAGCCCGCTCATGGCGGCGAGGGCCGGCTCGGGCGCTGGCTCGGGCGCTGGACCGGGAGCTGGCTCGGGAGCCGGACGAGCAGCAGCGGCCGGGACGGGCCGTGTGCGGCCGGGACACAACGCGGGCCGTCGCCATGGCAACGGCAGCGCCGCCCCGCGCGGGCCCGCACGAGGCGGCTGGGCTGGAAGGGGCGGGGCGGGGCTGAGAGGGCGGGGCCGGGCGGGGCTGAGAGGGCGGGGCTGAGAGGGCGGGGCAGGCCTGGGCCGGGGTGACAGGGCTGGGTGGGCGAGGCGGTGCCGCTCGGCCGCGCTGGGGGATAAAGTTGGGCAGTAGGGGCCGATCGGGGCTCCCCTGTGCCCGCAGGCGAACCGCGGAGAGTCACCTCTGTCGTCCGTGTGTGGGGTGTTGAGGCGGGGAGCTGCCCCCGGGCGCCCCGGGGATGGGTTACCTGAAGGTGCTGGTGGTGCAGGATTTCAAGTCGTGGCGCGGGCAGCAGGTGATCGGCCCCTTCATGAGGTTCAACTGCATCATCGGGCCCAATGGATCAGGTAGCGTGTGCAGGGGCCGGGGGCAGCGGCCCCCGAGCCGTCAGCGCCGAGCTCGCAGTGTGCGGGCACTCGGCCCTGTGGGGCTGCTCGGTGTCCCCGCAGGCCCAGGCACACAGAGGAGCCTGGGCGGCCCCTGCACGGCCTCCTCGGCCCGGGGTGCAGGTCCTTCAGCCTGGTGCAAGGGCAGTGTCGGCTGTCTCTGTGCTTCCCAGGCCGAGCAGAAGGCTCGGTTTGCAAACGCAGCTTGTCTCGGCCGCCCCACTCATAGCTCAGCTTACAGACAGGGTTTTACTTCACTACTCCGAGTTGTAAACTGTGGCAGTGGAAACCTGCTCCTCGATTGCAGTGTGTGGGTTTTGCCACGCTTGTCCTGGAAAAGCTCTGGAATATGGGCCCTGCCTTGTAGTCCAGCCCATGGGAGCCGGGATTTGTGAGTGCGGCTCCACATTGTTATCCCAAACTGCAACTTCTTAAAAAATTATTCCCTTCTTCCAAAATCTCCATTCAACAAGTTGGATTTTATCCTGCATTTCCCCTGGGATAGGAGATGAGGGTTGTCCTAACAGAGCTGCATGGATGGGCTTTGCTTTTCATCTTAGTTTTTCCAGATTGTTCATGGTTTAGTCTGTGATTTAGGTTTTTAGATCCTGTAGTTTCTTCACTTACCTGATTGAAGTAAGACCATGAATGTAAGTTCAATATATTTAGCAGTTATAATGTTCTTTACCATCCTATCCTCACTGTTCTATATTGGGGAGTCTCAAAATTATGGATGCTTTTTCCAGGTGCTCTTCCAGTCAAATGTGAGTACATTTTATAGATGAATCCAAAGAGAAAAATTGTGACTATATAATCTCCGAATTGCATCTTTTTATTTATCTATTATCTATTTAACTCTTTTCCTCCTACTATTCCTCCTTTCCTGATATTTTTGAGAGTAAGTCAAAATAATGCCCAAGTAGCAAAGTTTAAGGCTGAAAATAATTAAGCTGTCAACAGAAGTGCTCAAGACTAAAGGGGGAAAACCAAAAGAGGATTCCATTAGGAGAATTTTTGTGGAAGGTCTGTGACCAGAGAGCTTTGATGCTATGGTGGATGGATCTGGGAAAGTGCTTGTCTTCTTCAGGAGCCTGGTGTTGTAGTGGAAAGTTGTGGCTGGAGTGCTCGTGCAGCAATGCTCCCTCATTGCATTCCAGAAAGGACACAGCCAAGGAAGGAGTGTGATGTGGCTCACTCAGATGGAGAAATGATCTCTGGATTTGTTCAGTAAAGCTGAACAAATGAAAAATCAGTTTTGTGATGATTTTTATTACAGACAGGCTTATTTTCTGCCGCTGGTGTGTTGCATCTTAGAGATGTGTTTCTTTATTTGCAGTAGTTTTTTCTCAATAAAATCACCAAATCCCAGAGTGGTTTGGGTTGGGAGGGACCTTAAAGCCCATCCAGTCCCACCCCTGCCATGGCAGGGACACCTTCCACTATCCCAGGTTGCTCCAAGCCCCGTCCAACCTGACCTTGGACACTTCCAGGGCTGGGGCAGCCACAGCTTCTCTGGGCAACCCGTGCCAGGGTCTCCCCACCCTCACAGGGAGGAATTTCTTCCTAAAAAAATTTAAAAATGCAGAATAAGAAATAGAATTAATGAAGAACTTTGAAATTCTGCATATTTTTTTAGCTGGTTGTTAATCAAATGCCTCCTTTCATTTCTGCCACGTCAGAGCAATTTTTAAACATTTCTTTTAAGGGAAATCTAACATAATGGATGCTGTCAGCTTTCTGCTGTGTGAAAGGACAGCCAATCTGAGAGTTAAAAGTGTTCGGGAGCTCATTCACGGAGCACACGTTGGGCGACCAGTCTCTTCCACAGCCAGTGTGAAGATGGTGTACTGTGAGGAAGATGGGGAAGAGAAGACATTTTCAAGAGTTATCCGTGGTAGGTGGTAGAGACTGCTGCAATTCTGTCTGTTTGATGTATAAAGAGGGATGTATAAATGATGTATAAATGGAGACAAGAAATACTCAGCTCGGAATTTCAGATGCCCAATGTCATTTCAGAGCTGGGTGGGTTAATATTTCAGTATTAATACACAATTTGGTGGTGGTATAAATAAAAAAAACATGCTGGGGCCAATTAGTTAAAAGATTCAACAAGTGATTATTGTATGTTCTTTACTCTCTATGTGTCTGTAGATACTCCCTTGGGATCTGTAGATGGAAATGGGGGCTGAAACCTTGCAGGCACGAGCACTGGAGCACGCCAGTGCCATTTGGAAGTGTGAAACTAGAGTTTTCATACAGAAAACTGGAATTATTGAGAGGAATAAAGGAATAACTGAGATCTGTTTTCTTCTTTGAGGAAATTGCTCCGTTAAATTGTTCTACTGGTTTAGTTCTTTTCCAGTGGGTTTTGTGTTGCAGCAGTAATTTTCAGTTACAGTTTTCAGTAGTAATTTTCTTTTTTCTTTCCTCCTTTAGGCAGTTGCACTGAATTTTTTTTCAATGACAAGGCTGTCAGCCGATCTGCTTACATATCCGAGCTTGAAAAAATAGGCATTCTTGTCAAGGCCAGGAATTGCCTTATTTTTCAGGTGAGCATTCAAGGTACTTTGTAAGGAAAATAAAAGCCTCTGAGGTTATTATTTCATAGATACACAGTTATCTGTTTGATAGAAAAGAGGGCACCCTTAGCTAACTACAAGCCAATATATTTTTTTCCTGACCTCAACCAAGAACTACAAGACTACAAAGTAGAAATAATGGGATTGCGTGTACAGAAGTGCACTAGGAAGAAAGAAGCTGATCTGGAAGAAATTGTGTGCTTGTATTATTCACAGGATGTAAGAAAATATGTGTCTCTATAAATGCTTGGTGTGTTCAATTCTAGAAGTGTTAGGAAAAAAAGGAATTTCATCTTAAAACACTTCTATCAGTAAAGATGCATCGAAGTGTAAAGGATATTTTGGTTCAGGCTGAGGGATTGATAATTCTGCTGGGCTGTTAGTTCCCAAGAATTTAATGACATGGGTCAGAAGTGCCTTAGCCTTGTGATGAATATGTTGCACAAAATTGTCTTCCTTGCAGTTGCTGAGAAGACTCCCGAGGAAGAACTGATTTTTTGCCTCTTACAGAAACCTTTATAATATAAATGGAGATCCATCTGTACTATATGCTCCTAAAGAAATCCATTAGGCAGCAGAAGGATCTACAGTGCTGCATTATTTACTTTTTTGGGGCCATTTTGTTTCAGGGAACAGTAGAATCGATTGCAATGAAGAAGCCCAAGGAGAGAACTCAACTTTTTGAACAAATCAGTAATTCATGGGAATTGGCCGAAGAATATGAACGAAAAAAGAAGAAAATGCAGCAAGCAGAAGAGGATGCACAGTTTAATTATAACAAGAAAAAAAGTGTTGCAGCAGAACGGAAACAAGCAAAGATAGAGAAAGAGGAGGTAACTCAGTTGTTCCTTTTTTTTGGTTGTAAAGATACCAGATTTTTATCAGATCTTTTATGGGCTTAAATACAGGTGGTTTTGGTTTTTTTTTTAAAAAAAACAACCACACATTTCTGTTGTGCTTGATCTAGGGTTTTTTTTTCAGTATGGCATACTATATAATAATTTGGTATAATTTATAAAGGTGAAGGAATACATATAATAAAATCTAAATAAATGAAAGCATAGGTTTGCTAGTATGATTAAGTATTGATTTAAATGTTTGAGTTTTATGATTGGTGCACATTGCTGGAATTACAGCTACTGGTACAGCATCTTATTTCAGTTTGGGCTTGAAATTAGACTGATAATGATGGAAAATCATTTTTATAAACCATAAATGAAATTTTAATGTTGGTAGGCAGAGCATTACCAGATGCTAATCAAGGACCTGTATGAAGAAAGGATACAGATGAAGCTTTTTCTGCTTTATCACAATGAAAAAGACATTGGCTTCCTGAAAACCAGTTTGGATGAAAAGAATATGGAGGCTTATACCAAGAAAGAGGCTCTTTCTGCAGCAGAAGATTCATTTAAAGCCAAGAAAAAAGTGCTTGGTGTACTAAACAGGGACCTACAGCATATGGAAAAAGAAATGAAGTAGGTTTTCCCATCAGATTCTGTGATAGTTGAATTAAAGCATGATCTGCACTGGGAATTGCTTGGCAGGTGTGCGTTTCCTGTTGCACACGTGGGTGAGAACCCAGTGCTAGGGGAGTCAGTTTGTAATTCACTGAAGTAATACCTAGACGTGGTTTTCACCTCCCTTGCCATGCCCAGGTTGTCAGTAATTTCATTATATATAAATACCTGTTTGCTATTACACTTTAGAAGGTTATGCTTCACTTCCTAAATGACTATTTTCAGTGGATATTAAAAAAAAATCCCCGCAGTGGAAACCCCTGGGCACAGCCACAGCCTTGCTCTTGAAACCTGTTTGCAGGTGTGGTTGGGAGGGAGGGTTCTTTTCTCTCCTCCCTCTCTCCCCTTTCCTTTGCTCCTTTTTGCTGCGTGGTTTTGTTGTTTTGTCTGTGTTTTGTGGTGGTTGGCTGGTTGGGTTGTTTGTTTTGGGTTTGCTTTTGGTTTTGTTTTTTAGGACTCTGGAAGCATCACTGATTCAGCAGAGACCCCTCTATATAAAAGCAAAGGAAAACACGTCCTACCAAATCAAGAAAGTAGAAATGTCTAAAAAATCTCTGAGGGACAAGGAGAAACAGTGTGATAAGGAAAAGCAGAACATAAAAGAGCTAGAGATAGAACTGAGTGATATTGAGAAGGCGTGGAGAGCGTTTGAGGAGAAAGCTGAAGAGGAGCTAAAGCAGAGAGCAGCACGTGTTGAGCTGGGAGAAAGTCAGGTGAACTGGGAGGCCCAAAAGCAGTGGTTACTAGAGAAGTCCAAAAATCCCCCCCCAAATCACAGGGAAACCATTATTTCACCAGTGACCTGTAATTTCTGGTGGTCTTTTTGTTCTTGAGCTCAAACAAAACCAAAATTGCAAGTTTTATATAGAGACATGGTACCCTGTGGGAGGGCAGGACAGAAAACATTCAGCAGGGTGAGAGTGTGACAAAGTAGGCAATTGCTGCTTGAGGCTGGAACAACATGAATCTTCCCACTTTCCAGGGAGTTAATTTATGACTTCTTTGGTTTTGTCTAGCTGGAGCGTTACAGAGAGCTAAAGGAGACAGCAAGAAAGAAAGTTGCTACACTAACCCAGCAGATGGAGAAACTTCGCTGGGAGGATAGAGGAGATCAAGAAAGGCTGAAACTTAATCGGAGGAAGAAAAATGAAGTCGAGGTATTTGTGTCAAACTAGAATTATGTTTGAAGGAGAAAAACGTGTCCCTGCTCCTGCCTCGGGTATGACTGTCTGTGAAGGTGTGCTCTGAGCTTTGACATAATCAAATCCACAGCAGAGGGGAGACATTGCAAGTGTTAGTTCAGTTGTATGAGAACTCTCATACCCTTATCTCATGGATATTGAAGCAGGTGCACAAAGAGGTTAACTCTCCATCCCTAGAGCTATTTAAAAGGTCACAAGAATTTCAGGAGTTAAATTAAGGCTTAATAAAATGCATAGGTAACAGTATTTTTTTTCTTTTCATTTGCTTTAATTAGTGTATTTTTTTTCAAAGGGAGTGACTGAAAATACTTGTTGGTTTTTGTTGTGGTTTTTTTGGTTTGTAGTTTTTTCTTTTTACTACAGTGTTTTGTGTCAGTTTGGAAGCTCTGAGCCTGCTTCTTTGTGTGTCCTTAGGAAAAAAATATTGATGTAGGGCCAAGAAAAGCACCTCTTTTTTTTTTAACACCTGTAATTTACTAATTCTACGTTTAAAGTTGTTTTAAGTGTTGGTGTCATGATTCTCTGTCATAAAGAGGCTTTCTCTAAGCTGTAGCTGAACATGAAAAATCCAGTAATGGCCTTGATAAAACAATTTCCCTCTATTATTCATGGTGCAATTTGGCATCTGTTATTGCAAAAGAGATGCTGTTACTTCAGTGTGAAATACCAGTCAGGAGGAAAAGATCTGCCTCAGTGCTTGTTCTGATTAATTCAGCTTTCTATCTTGCTGTAAGCTGTGGTTTTCTGGTTTGTTTTGGACACTTGTGTTTGTGATTGCATAGGAAATCATAAAGCAGACTGTGGAACAGATAGAGGAGCATAAGAAACGCATAGAGAAGTTGGAAGAATATGCCAAGATATGCAGGTATGGGTAAAAAATTAAAAAATCATTTGATTTTTTGTGTATTAGGTATTGTCAAAAATAACACAGCACGTTTCTAATTGCTTCTAATTATTTTCTTTAAAATTCTAATAGGAGTTAGAATCCTTACCAATTTTACTTAATAGCTTATTAAAGTAATATGGCTATTAAAGTAGCTGCCAAAATGAAGTAGGAGGTATGATGACTAATCCATATTTTATTTGAACCAGTTCTATAATTACTTCTAATTTCTTGCAAATTCTGTCACTATGGGTATGGGGCTGTTAGTGGACAAATTTAGCAAGGGAACAGGGCAGTTCTGTAGTCGTGCTGCTCTAGAAAGCATTAATACTTACCTTGTGTGTTAGCTCAGTTCTTCCCTCCTGGGTCTTGTCTTCTGCCTGGTTTTTACTCCTCGTGAGGTAAGGCGACTGCAGAATGACCTGAATCGATGCTACAAGTGTGTATAAATGAAATAATGCTTTTTATTTGTGCTTCTGTCCGAAGCGAATCGTTAGCAGAGAAAAAACAGCAGGAGGAGCTGCTGGCTGAGGAGATTGAGACCTCAACAGTGAGAATGGCTGAAGTGAATGAGGAGCTGAACAAAATAGTTGGGGAGCTGCAGAATGCCAGGATGGATTACCACGAGGGCAGGCGGGAGCAGATGAGAGCAGAGATCCTGGAGAGTCTCAGAAGGCTGTACCCGGATTCCGTGGTAATGGGATGGCCTTATCCCAATGCTTTATTTTAGAGCTAAGAGTTCTGCCTTAGGCTGAGGAAGCAGCTGGGCTAAATTGGACAGGCTGGATCCCAGTGGATCGTAGTTGGCCATGAATTTCCAGTAGATAAAACATGAAATACCTGAATGTGTTGTTCCTGAGACAACACCGTGAAAGACCTGTCACAGCTCATGCCAGTTGTCTCTTCATTTGTTTAACTTTGATAAGGATGAAACTGTACATCTGCAAGAAGAGACCAGTAGCTACGTGTGAACAAGCAGAAAAACTGTTCTTGCATGAATTCAAGGGTTATGGTGTTCAAAGTGGGCATCAGTAGGTTCAGTCCTTCAGAAAAAGCTCAGCTGTGCTTGTAAGGACAGAAAGGGAACAAAAGATCTTTGGGGAGCATGTACAATAAAGAGCTAATTAGTTTTACTTAATGGTGTTACTTAATGATTATTTGGACTATGCAGTACAAGAAAAACTGATTTTATTCTGTTTATGCTACTAAAATAAGCAGATACTTCTTTTTTGGGTTGAAATTAAAATAGTGCCTCTCTTGCTGCCATTTTCCAGTTCTATTTATTTAAGACTTTATAGACATTTTAAGATTTTACTGAGTGTCAGATACTTTCTTTCTCTCCAAAAAAGATGCTCAGCTAACTTTGTCACTCTCTTATGCTTCTGGAATTGTATGCTAGAGATTCTCAGTAAAACATTGAGATACATAACTGCAACCTTAGAGAAAAAATTAGATCCCCTCAGAAGGCATACTTTGCATGTTGGGTTGATGACTACTTCAATTTCTGTTTTTTCTGATGCACAGCCATTGTGAGAGAGTGCAGCTGGTAGATGTGTAACACATTTTCCTCTTACTGCTTCAGCCTCTTGTGTGCAGAAATATTATTCCATGTCTAAAGTAGCATATTAATATTTCTCAACATTTTAATCTTCAGTTTGGAAGATTGCTTGACCTGTGTCATCCTATCCATAAAAAATACCAGCTTGCTGTTACCAAGGTGTTCAGCAGATACATGACTGCTATTGTTGTTGCCTCTCAAAAAACAGCGAGGGATTGTATTCAGTTCCTGAAACAGGAACGGGCTGAACCCGAAACGTTTCTTGCTCTGGATTACCTTGATGTGAGTACATTTTTCTTTCTCCTGTCATCAGCAAACTGATACACTTGTAAATCTTGATACTGGATCATTTAAGCTTCACAAAAGTAGGTTTAAGTGTTAAGGCACAGGACTTGGGAAGTGAATTCTGTGGGGCTCTTGTTGGCCCACTGCTCCAGCCTGCTGAGGTCCCTCTGGATGAGTGTCTGGCATATCAGTCATTCCTCCCAGCTTTGTGTCATCAGCAGATTGCTGATTGTCCTCCTCCTTGTCCCTTTCTGAGCACAGGAGTGACACTGGTGTGTCCCTAATCCTCAGACACCTCTTGCAGTTGCCATTCTGTTACCTGCACATCCTGTGCCCAGACCTCTCAGATTTGGGCCTGCTTTATGGTGACAGCAGGAATTCCAGGCACTGCTTCTTTGCTTTCCAGGTCAAGCCAATCAACGAGAAGCTGAGGGAGGTAAAGGGAGCTAAACTGCTGGTGGATGTTGTGCAAACACCATTTGCTCCACTGAAAAGAGTGATTCAGTTTGTGAGCGGGAACAGCCTGGTCTGTGAGACAGTGAAGGAGGCCAAACACATCGCCTTTGATGGACCAGTGAGGCTCAAGGTGAGGAGCTGCAGTTTGCTGCACGTGTTTCCCACTGCAGTCATGGATTTGATGCCATTTAAATCATTCTTTTCTACATGTGCTGTGAAGGATTGCAGGTAAACACGGAGTGGTGCTGTGCTGTCTAATCCCACACAAACAAACCACCAGATACTTCACATGGTTATGTTTGCCTCTGTCTGGTAGTAAGTGTAAGTGGTTTCCTGGGAAAAGGGGGAGGCAAATTGGAGGATAGTTAGAGTCCAAATATGCTTCTTCATATGGTCCTTGTGATAAAAGGAGGGTGAAGGAGGGATAATCCTGCACTTAAAACTGCCTGATTTAGAAACTCAGACTTTATCTTGTGAGGGGTTTTTTGAAGAAATGCTTTCAAAAATCTTTAAAATATCTGCCAGAATATGCTGGTTGTAGATGTGGACTGTGTTAAGGACTGGAAGCTTCTCTGTTACTTCCTGCAGTTGTCTCTTCTTATTCATACCTGTGTTGCTGCAGACAGTCTTTTATGCACTTAGTGTTAACTGTTTAAAATCTTGATTAAAACAGCTTGAAGTTGAAGGTGAGCATGAAATCATGTTTACTTGGAATCAGGTCACTAAAGCACCCATGTTCTTCACTAAAATTTGCCCTTCCTGGGTACAAACAGGCTGTTTTCCTCTACTCCATTATCATGGGGCTTGGTTTGTTCTACTGAGCCAGACAGAACCTTCTAAGTGCCACACAAGTGTCTCATATTAATTTTCTAAATACAAGGAAATGATACAATTTCATTTCATTTGCTGATCAGTTGTAATAATACTAAAATGTGATTAGTGCTAAGAAACAACAGGCATTCTCTGTGGCTTCATGTATCTCATATTAGCAGGTTTGGAACATGAAAAAACATTGAAGTCCACCTCAAATGTGGTTGTTGCTTGTTTGACTGCCATATCTTGGGCACTACTTTGTTGGGTATTTTGGCTGATTTTGTTAAGATCTATTTGGGTTTACTTTTTTTTTTCCTTCTAGACAGTGTCTCTTGATGGAACTTTATTTTTAAAATCTGGAGTGATTTCTGGAGGATCCAGTGATTTAAGATTTAAAGCTAGATGTTGGGATGATAAAGAAATGAATAAAATGAAAGAAAGAAGGGATAGCTTGATTCATGAGTTAAAGGTAGGTCTCTTAATAGCACTTACTGCAAAAGTCATGGAAGTGTAGAAGTTGTCTGACTCAGTTCAGCTCTGGGAAGGGGATTTTCCAAAGAGGTGATTTTCAAAACTCATAGAAGATGCAGACAGGACACAGTAGCTGTTTATCCTCTTCCAGTTAATAATAATCCATTGTGCATCTTGTCCTTAGCTGATGGAGTGGTTCACAGATGGAGAACCAGGATAACACTCTTGGTCCAAGCTGCCTCCAGGAAAAGGAGCTGCTGTTCAAAGTACCTGGAGACTTGTAGTGAGAAAAAGATGATGTGATCTGTCAACATGAGAGTGTTTGCATGGACCAAAACCTTCCAGTGTAAAACTATGTCATACCTCTAGTGTTTGTTTCTATGAGAGGGATGGAGCAGGGATTTAGGAATCTGCAAGCAGATGCTTCCTGTGGAGAAGTAAATCTGTTACAAAATTCCTGTGGAGCATGACCAGTGCTGCCAGCCTTTACCTCGAATGAGGCCCGTGTCAGTGAGGCTGAAATCTGCACACGACTCATTTTCCAAGAGGCCACCTCATATTTACAGTGCTTTTTCTCCCACCCCAACCCTTCCCCAGACCCTGATGAAGACCAAGCGTAAGGAGGCCGACCTGAAGCAGCTGCGTGCCCAGAGCCAAGGAACCCAGACACGGCTCAAATACTCACAGAGTGAGCTGGACCTCATTAAAAAGAAACACCTTGCCAATCTCTACATGGTACCCTGCCAACTCTTAACCATTCTCAGCTTTAATAATTGTATTTTTTAAGCTGTCATTACCTGTGAAATAAATGCTGCTTCCTTACATAGTTTTTTTAATTCAGATCAAGTTTTGCATGCGGCAGTTACGACTGAGGGATTGATAAAATATAAAAAGCAAGACTAGAAAGTACTTTACGTGAGCCTTTTTCTATTTTAGGTTTTAAATTTGGATCTCTGGTAGCTTTGGTATATCATTTAGTAACATTCAGAAGTCTGTAAGTCAAAGTGCACTTTATGTGGTGCTTAGTTTGCTTTTCTCCTCATTCAAACTAATCATTGCATGCAAATTGGCAATGATAGTGAGTAAGTGGCATTTGAGAAGAAAATAAAGGTTTTAATCAGAAAAATACAGTTAATCTGGAACAGAGCTGTCTCTTTAATTTCTAGAAAGTTGACCCTCCTGTTAAGAAAAATTACCATATTTTTCCTTTCTATCCAGGAAAAATCAAAGCTGGAAAGTGAACTGCTAAATATTGAGTCTCAGCATGACATGCTGAATGAAGGAATAGCACGAAGAAAAACAAAAATAGAAGAATTTCAGACAAAAATTAATGAGGTAATGCTTTCTGTCAAAACTGTGACAGCCTATGCTGTTATGCTGCAGAAACTTCTTATGTTCCTGCTGACTTCTAGAACTTGGACAACTTTTAACTTTATAAACAACTTTGTCAACAAGACTTCTAAGTTATTCCAACAGTCATCCTCTTCCTTTCTTACCAGGCTGGCTGGGAACAGAGGTGCACTTGGATGTTAATGTGTCCCAGCTCTGCAGTTACTCGAGGTGTATCATACACATGTAACTTACTTCCTGGCCTCTGCCCCATTCTCATCAGTCAGCCTTGGGTTAATCTGGCTGGAATTCTGCCTGGAAAAAGGAGCCAAAACTGCTGTGTGTTCTCTGTCCTGCCTGTGGTGCAGGCACGAGGGAGTGCAGATGTCTGTCATCTGCAAGCACTGGCACTGTCATTGATGGTTAAGCTCTGAGAATTCCAGACCTGGGGAATTTTGCTTTTGCTTGTTCTGAAAATAAAAAATAAAAAATAAATAAAAAAAAAAAACAAACACCAAAAACAAACTAAAAAATGGAGGCTTTCCAAAGGGTAGTGTAACTTGTAACTTGAAGTGGTATTGTATCCCTGGCTGAAACAACCTGAGTACTAAAGCAGTGTAAACATTACCAGGTTCTGACCTGTAAAGTTCTCTTAAAAGTCTGTTCAACCCATTAGGTTTCCTTTCTAATAGGCTGTTGCTATTCTTCATTCAGTCCTGTCTTACACACTGTACCTAATAATTTACCTGCTTAAATTTTTCATAAAAATCTTAGGATTGGTTTTGCCTGAGGCTTTTGTTAGTATGCACTGTATAATTAGGAGGTGAAATATTCCATGGCACTGTTTTTGCTGTGACTTTGCTATAATTGGAACACAGTAATTAATATTTATGGATCCCTTGAAAGGATTAAAATGAAGAACTGAGCTGCACCAAGAGACCTGTTGTATCTGATTAGTGTCCTGTCCAGCTTTCTCTTCTTCAGCTGGCTGGGAACAACAGGCAAAACCAGGGCAGTTGGTCACAGTGATTACTTTAATTGTCTTTGGAGTGACCAGGTGCTGTCAAGAAGAACTTAGAGTTACATCTTGCAGATCATATGCCTTGTGTCTGGCATTTGGACTGAAAGAGTTATTGGAAAATTTCAAGTACAAGTTACTTCTCAGTACTTGTTTGCTGTTTCTTAAAGTACCTTAAAAACCCAGCCTGCAGCATGAAGCGATTGTCCAAATGTTTTACACCTGTGAGTGACCAAACATCTTTTTTTTTTGCTCTGTTTCTCTGTATTCCAAGGTGGAAGACACTGTTTTCCGAGAATTCTGTGAAGAGATTGGTATAGAAAATATCCGTGTGTATGAACAGGAACACGTGAGGCAGCAAGAGGAGATTGCCAAGAGAAGGTGGTGTTTGGCACTGATTAGTAAACCAGTGGCTGGGATTAAATTGGGCACACTGGGCCTTGGGAAACCCCAGCCCAGGAAATATCACAAAAGCCCAGGAGACAGTAAAAGGTTCCCCTCTTACTGCAGGGGTTAGTTAGGGATTAGTGACACTGCTATGCTTTGGGCTTATGAGACAGTTCAGATCAGTGACAGCTGGCAACAAACTTGGAAGGTAACATTTGCTATTTTGGTAGCACTGCTGTAGAAAAATAAAGCAAAGAATAGTTTTCTAAAACCCACGTGGAAAAATGGCACTATCCCAGATTGAGAACAGCATGAAGGGTCACTCATGTATCCAAAATCTGAAGGAGAACTGGATGTAGGATGCAGGCATTTGGTATAGGAACATGATCTTAAGGACAGCAGGCTCTGAGGTTTCTCACTGGCAACCTCACCTAGTATTTGTGTCCCAGGCACATGTCCCAGGACCACAGATTTGTGCCTTATGAAGGAGAATGTTGAACTAGACCCTTGAACTCCAGTGTCACTCTCCATATTGAGGTGGCCATATTAACTATTATCACTGTATCCTTGTGACTTCAGCACATCCACAGGATGTGGTGTGGTGGTCCCAAACGTCTGCAGATTTCTGTGCTCACGTGGGAGATACAAAAATGCAATCTGACTCCTCAGAGGGGAAACGTGCCTTGTCCCAGCTTACAGTGACAGTTAGGAGCCTGCTCTGTATGTGTTGATTTGAAGTCCTGTGCTTTGCCTAGGCTGGAGTTTGAGAGCCAGAAGACCCGACTGAACACTCAGCTGGAGTATAATCGGGATCATCTCCAAAAATTAACAAACTCGGTCAGCAAGTTGAGGGAGACCATAAAGAAAGATGAAGCTGGGATCGTCAGGCTTCGGGAGGTAACTCTGAAATCAGTCTCTGCCTCTGGGACTCTTCTGGGAGAACAGAATGCACTGAGTTACAATATTTAAAAAGTGTGATGCTGAGTAATTCTGCAAGGGGTTCATTCAGTGCTGACTTCGTAATTGTTTAAAAAAATGCAGATGCATTTTAACCTCGGAATAACCTGCCATGCTTGGGTACTTACTAATTATTCAAAATAAGTTTGCTCAAAATTGTGTATTGTTGTGTGTACAGTGTTATATTGTGTTCAGTTTTATGTGTTTAATTGATACGAAAAGGCAACATACAGCTACAAATAAAACCAGCAGCACGTGGCTCAGATTCAGTAGAAGATTTCACGAGTAAGACTAAACAACTCTGGTGCTTTACATCTTTAAGGTACTTCACAGCCACTAAGATAATTCTGTGAAACCAATTCAGATTTTTAATTGAGGTAATATGTGTGGATTCCTCCTTCCCAGTGTTCTTGATTCCTTGTTGTGCTCATGGTGCTTGTTAAATAAACTATGTTTGTGGTACACAGAAAAGGGAAGGAGAAAAGATCCGTAATAGTGCTCTGAATAAAAAACAAAAGTGAAGTGTATAAAACTGCTACAAAGTGGAGGAAAAAAAATCCCACAGTGCCTTTCAGATTTTGTGTTGTAACACATTTGAATGTAACAGGTTTAAACTTATAACTCTTTCTTTGTGTATAACAAGGCTCCACATCAAGAGTTTTGATGGGACGTTAAAAATGTAAATATTTTTATGCAGGATGAAGAAAAGCTTTTAATAAAAGTGAATGAAATGGTGGAGGAGCAGCAAGAACTTAAGGATAGATTAAGTACTCATAAATCTCAGGTTACAAAAAGCCAAACTGAAGTTGAAGAGTTCAGAAGGAGGATGTTAACTCTTAATAGGTAATTCCTACATGTACTGCTGGGAAAATGGTTAATGGGATAATATTTAGCAGAGATTTGGTGCTCAGATGTTTGGATTTCTCTTGATGTGTTTTCTTGTGAAAGACTTATTAGGGACATGGTGATTTGCATTTACAGTAGGTGTCAGTTTAGCAGTGTTTCTGGGCAATAGGGAGTGACTTGGGGTAAGAGTGTAGTATTTACATTTGACTGGGGGCGTGTGTAGTTCCCTGGTAGTTTCACAGTTTAAGTTGTACAGCACCTTCAATTAATTGGAATTTTTTTTCTGATTTTATTGTTATTTTCTCCAGACTTTTCATGGGTTGGATACCTTAAACTGATATTAACTTTAGGCTCACTATTTTGTCCCACTGTTTTAAATCAGCTGCTTTGGGGACAGATTAGACTTCAGTTTTGTTATGCTTGCTGATTATTGATGTGCTTAATGTCTCTTAACCAGGAGTTTAAGATACGTTTAAAACCCCTGTTGGCCCAGTGTGGTTAGATAAACTTGGGGAATTTTCTATGAACTCCTGGACTGTATGCCTAGGAATTCATGTCAGAGTGTGTCATTTAACCATGTAAGATATGACATTTCTGGTGCTGGTAACTTGATGCTATCACAGGAATTTATTGCAAAGAATCAAGCTGTGCTTCAAGGAGAGTAGTGACAGAAGAGACTTGATGGAATGTTAGAAGGATCGAATCTCCCTCCGTGTTGTGCAGAGCTGAACAGAACAGAGTTGTGGCTAGGGAAGGTGGGGTTTGAAGATGCTGCAGAGTGAACTTGTCAGTACTCTGAAACTCAGGCTCCCTCTGGAGTCCTGTGGGAGAATGGAGAGGATGGCACAAGTACAGCCCCCTTTTCCCGAGTTCAGTGGGGACTGCAGGGGAAGGAGCCCTCATGGTGCTTGGAGACTGGTTTTCGTGCTGTGTTAGTCATGCTGGTTTTCTCTGGATGTGTTTAGCAGTGATGCTTCTGCTCTTGAGTTGTTTCATTCCTTTTGTGCATGTAGGGAAGCCACAAAACTGCAGAAGGAAGCTGCAGCTCTAGAAACTGCTCTGGAAGAGAAGAGACTAAAGAGACATAATCTGCTGCTCGAGTGCAAGGTGCAGGACTTGAAAATCAAGCTCCTCTTTGGAACACTGGATGACATCAGTGAAGTAGAGGTACTTAAAAATGTTTACAGAAGATAAATATCCTGGGGGAGCAGTTCCTCAGTCATGAATTTAAAGATCCTCATTCTTTCCTTACGGGAATATTTGTCTCCCATAGTAATGTTCAAACAAATGTGTTGGTTTTGTGTTTTCAGGCCTCATTCGTTCAAGGGAAGGATTTTTGTTGCTTTTTGTAGGCAGAGATATTGTTTGCAAGTATTTTTACTTGAAACATATTCCTGTGGAATATCTAGAATCACCATGGTACAAGAAAATTGGTGTGAAGATGTGTAAGAGGACACGCAGGGGCAGTTCAGAAATATAAATAAATATGGCATATACGTGGATTGAGATCAGATTAGGTCAATCATCCATAATATAAATGCTGTATAGGAAATGATCCTTTTGGCTTGAGTAGATATTCACAGAGATCAGGGATAGGCTAAGATAGAAACATTCCTGCTATCAGAGGTTTGACTATTTAGTTGTCTACATCTTCCCTCTTTTTCCAGCATATCTTTGGTGAGGAGAAATAAACTTTCTCCACTGTTACAAAAGAAAAGAGCTGTGAGTTTGGAAGGACTTTTAAGGAGTGTGTGAATTTGGAAGGAGCCTTGTTGAACCCCTTCCTTAGAAAAGTATTTTTGCTGGAGGATGGGTATGAACAGGGCAGCAGAAAATGCAGTGAGGTGGGGTGGGTGGTTTGTGAAGGGAGAGAACAAGAACTGCTCCTGATCAGAGGATGCAGGAGCTCAGCTCTCACTATTTGGATAAGGAAGAGCTGAAACCAAGGAGGTGTGAGCAGTAGGAAAACCAACTTGGATTAATCAATGCTTTCACTAAGAAGACCAGCAGGATTTGGTGGTGGGAGAGGGACTGACAATGAGAGGTAGCACGTCTCCTTTGAGGGAAGGTGGCTGTTGGAAATTCAGGCTGCAGGGTCCAGAAGACACTCTGGTTGTGCTGTACAGAGCTGAAGCTCTTTCTGAGGCCAACTGAGCAGAAGAAATGCCTCAGCTGACACCTTCAGAGCCTTCCCTTGGAAGGGGGTTGAATTATCTGGGGAATATAAATCCTTCCAACCAGGAGATTTACAGTATGCCCATGGTTGTAACTACACTACAAAAAAATTGCTGCTGCTTTCACCTTGATTTAAACTGAGATTAGCAGATGTTTTCACCTTTGTTTAACAGGTGCATGGTTTAATTGGACTCATGAGATCTTAACTGTTCACTCCCTCTGGGCCAGGGCAGGAGCTTGTACCATGTTACCACTGTCTCTTCATTTCAAATCCTTTCAGTTAATTGGTGTAACAGTTTAAAAGTTAACTGCTGTACTTCTGAACTGGAATGTCCCTCATCTTCCAGCTGGGAACTGAAACAGAAGACACCCAGACAACGTCAGGGATCTATGAGAGGGAGGAGAGAATTCAGGTAGACTACAGGAGCCTAGCAGAAGACCTGAAGGTGATCTTTTTGTTTTGAAATTATTGCAGATGGGAGTGTTTGATTTTTCATTTTGGTAAAAAATATTTTATTTGTTGAAATTATTTGTTCTTCACCCCTGTCTTGAAATGAAACACTGCTAAGCTGAAGTGCATGTGTCTGTGTACTCTAGTTTTGCAGTCACATGTAGCACTGCTGTGTGGGATTTCTGGATGGGTCAGACTTTACCTTTAAAGCTTCTCTGAACCACAAACATGGAATTCAGAAAGAGTTAATATAACCTTGGTTTTTCCTTCCTGCTTTACCTTCTGCCTTGAAGTTCCAACACTATATGTTATGGCTCAGAACTCCAGGACCCAAGGATGGCTGCTGGGGGTTGTTACCACTTCTGTCTGTGGTATTTGCAGAGACTGAGACTTCCCATCCTTCCCTCTCTAACAACCCATTAGGTCACATTTTTCTCAGCAGGTTTTGTAATTTTTTTTTTCCCTTGAATCCTAAGAAAAGTAAGTAAATGTCAGAGGCCAGGTACAGAGCGAAGGATGGATCTGTCATCACTGGAACTTGTCTCCAAGAATTCCCTGAGAACCTGCCTTTGAAGGTTTTCTTTACAAATCAAGTAGTGAAGCACTAATCCTGCTCTTGTGTTGTATTGTGAAGTGAGGGAAGGGAGTTGCCTCTCTGTTTTAAAGGTCTTGTGGAAGAATACTGAGGACCTCCTAGATGATTGTGAGAACTAAGGCCCTTGAGTGGCATTTTTTGGTTGTTTCCAGTTAAAGCTATCATGAGTGGGGTGGTTGTCTCAGAACCCACAAGTGCTTGCCATGTGTGTTGAAGTGTCTTGGCCTATGAGCCGACTGGATCCCTCCGAGATTCCTTTTTCTTCAGGACCTGCAGTCTGAGAAGGACATCGAGGCTCGTCTGAAGCAGATGCAGCAGGAGATCAAATGCAAAGAGACCACTCTGCTGAAGACAGCTGCTCCCAACCTGAGGGCAGTGGAGAAACTCCAGATCGCCCGGGGCAAGTTCCAGGAGTCCATAGACGGTAACAGTCCTTCATGGCCATCTCTTTTGGGACTGACAGTTTTCACCCTCTTCCCTGGCTTGGTCCTGCTGGCTTTGCCTCTTTCAGATACTGAGGTATTTTTTTGTGCTCAAGTGTTATCTCAGTTATTTTTTAATGATGTGTAAACAATTGTTTAGCATACAGGTGAGTATGCAGTTGAAATACACATTGAGTGATTGGAAAGAGACTTTGTTGCCCGAATGGCATCATAAAGTATTTTCACTTGCTTTGTGAAAATGACTGCCTTTTAATCTTAAAACTTTTTACATTTTTCCTACATAATTGAAGGAACTGTGTATGTTGTCCAGAACTCAGACACGAGCATTCCTTCAAACTGATGAGTATCCCCAGAGAGCATTGCAGCCACGAGCACAGGAAGGGTTCTGGAGCTGTACCAGGTCAGTGCTGGAGCTGCTTAGGGCTGCCCAGCCTCCAGAAGGAATTAGGAGAAGAATTTTGTTCCTTGCTCCAATCGAATATGGTGTAGAGGAGATGGAATACACCACAACTTCTCAGGTTTTGGGGCCTCCATTTGAAAGGTTTCAGAGGAAGGAAACTCTTTGTATTGGTATTGCTCCCTGTATGTGTATTTTTTCTGCAGTAAGTGTTTTCCTTGGTGCTGCTTATGGTACCCAACATAGATTTGTTCTGTGTATTTGCTCAGAGGCTTCTTACAGAGGAATTCCTGTGATCTGTTTTCCTCAGCTTTTGAGAGCAGCAGGAAGGAGGCCAGAACGTGCAGGCAGGAATTTGAGGAGGTGAAAAAGAGGAGGTATGAGCTGTTCAGCAGGTGCTTTGAACACGCCTCCATAGCCATTGACAGGATCTACAAGAAGCTGTGCAGGAACAGCAGTGCTCAGGTGGGTCATGGGCTCGGGGGCTTGGCCCAAGAGGCCTCACTGGATGCTTTGTTACCAAAGTAACACTCGGGCTTTGCAAAGACAGTCTCAGTCCTGGAGAAGGAAATGGCACAAATAATAAAGATGCACGAGTTCAGGGTCAGAGAAGGGAGATGACAAGCCAAAGCATGCTGGACATTAGACAGAGAAAGGTAATCTCTTAATAAAATTGGGAACTGCTCAGAGTGAGGTAGTTTTACTCTTTGTGTTTATCAGACTTACAAATTATAAGGACACAAATGTGAAATGTAATTGAGTAATTCATTTAAAAATAACACTGGTTTGCACATCTAGTGATACCAATAATAAGCAGTTAAAACAGTCATTAATACAGACAAAACTCAAAATCATAAATCAGTGTTTTGTACAAGGTCTTGAAGCTCTGTGTATCCCATTTAAATATTTAGGAAACACAGACATAATAAGTTTGCAGCTTTTAAGAAACACATAGGAAAATTGTCCCACAATTATCTTTGTTACTGTGCCTGTATTAATGCCAAAAGTGAAGAGGGAACTCCCTAATGCTTTGGTTACATCAAGTTCCATAGACTGTGGAGTGTTTAAAGGGTTCAGGATTGGATTCTTTTCTGTTTTAAAACATCAAATTCATCAGCTTCTGTGTTTTCCCTCAACATGTTGTGTATTGGTTTGGTTTTCTTCTGCTGTGCCTGTGATCCAAGAGGAGACATTTGAAGTCAGGGTTAAGTATGGAAATTTCTCTTTTATCTGTCTCCCCCTGTGCAGAGGGGAAGAGACTTTATTCTTTTATTGTTTCTTTTATTAATGGGAAAAACAAACCACGTAGCAAAGATCTTACCCATTGTACTTTTTAGTGGTTTGGAAAAATGATAATTCCTTTAAAATAATACTTTCAATTTTTGGCCCTGGGAACCAGGATACAAAGTATGGAGAAAGACTGCTTTTATTAAAGTCTTTCTCCAGCTCAAAGCTGGGCTCTGTAAAGCTAACCTTCCACAAAAAAGGCTAATTTTGCAAGTGTATTGTCTTCCAAGCTGCTTTTTAAGTCTAAAATTCTAATAACTAAAAAAAAAGCAGTTACATAAAAGGTGATAAAATCGAGTTTGTTCAGTAGTTGAAAGTGTGCAAATAACAAATAGGTGGTGCCATTTCCAAACTGGTTTTGTTAATGAGCCTCCTGGTTCCTTAACAAAACCATATTCCCTGGGAATTTGGTAATGCTGCTCTCAGGATGGATGGATGAAGCCAACTCCCTGATTTCCACATTAGCTCAGGCAGTGTTTAAACCCAAACCATTCCCATCTTAATACTTTGATAAATGTCCCTGTTAACAATGCCATGTGTGTGTTCCCAGGCATTCCTGAGCCTTGAGAATCCCGAGGAGCCCTATCTGGAAGGCATTGGCTTCAACTGTGTGGCCCCTGGCAAGCGTTTCATGCCCATGGACTGTTTGTCAGGAGGGGAGAAAACCGTGGCAGCCCTGGCCCTGGTGTTTGCCATACACAGGTAAAAACACTGCCCTGGGATTGTCCAAGGGGGGAAAGTACTGTGGGATTCTCCAAGGATCTGCCTGACAGGAAGAGAGACAGTGTTCCATTTACAAACATGTTAAAAAACCTGCTAATGGAGTACTCAGGCGTTACTAAAGTTCTTATTCTTTACCTTATTCTTTGCCTGTCACGACTTTAATATTATATATTAAATGTAGAATTTTATGTTAATTCTGAACTGTTAATTCAGTTATTGTGTATTATTTAATATTGCATAAGTAATATCTGATTATTTCATTAAAATAAATATAAATCTAATATTGCAAAATATTATCAGAATTTTATTAGAGAGTAATTAGAATGTTTATTAACATTTTGGCTTCTAAGTGCAAAATACTGCCTTGCCTCCTGCAGCTTTAGGCCAGCACCCTTCTTTATTTTGGATGAGATAGATGCTGCCCTGGACAACTCAAACATTGATAAAGTAAGTTATCCTTTATCAGTATCTGACACCTTTTGTAGAAGGGTGGCTGCTTGGACTGCAGGGTGTTGGGATGCAGAGATTGATTGCCCTGACTGAACCTGGTTTAAATTAGATTAAGTTTAGGGCTGAAGTAATGGTTGTGTGAGATACCAGACATGGGAGAGGTTTAAAATCCTCAATCTAAGCGTGTTTGATTGGTGCCCAAGCTGTGAATGTGAGAGAAGAGGTGAGGAGGGTGAAGGTGTGAGCTAAGTCTCTTTCCATTCTTTCAATTTGAGGATTTATTAAAGCAGATCTGCAGAAATGGAACTATACTGTGAAATCAATGAATTCTGTAACTTACTAAAGGCAGTTCTTCCATTAAAAAATTATTTCCATGTCAAGTAGATAGGACTGTGCAGGCAGAACTGTGCCAGTACATTATTAAAAATGTACTGGTTTTCCTTTAGCAGCATTTAATTTATATTGAGGGACACTGCTGTCTGCAGTGAACTAATACATATTTCAGATCTTATTATGTAGCCAGTAACAAACTTTACACACCTTTTTTTTTTTTTTTGTTAAGCATTCAGGAATTTCCACTTTGCTTTGTAGTTATATTAGGTAAAACTGTTTTTCATTGGCACAGGCCTCTTTCTTTAACTTTACTCATTGGAGTGAATGATTTTGTTACGTGTTTTCAAAAAGCAGCAGATCTGAGGGCTTGTCTTGAGACCAGGGCAAGTATCTGGCTTAAGAGTTGTTTATTTCTCATTTTGCCCAGCTTATTTCACGATGGAATTCGGCAGCTCTCACAGTTCAGTTCTCTCCTCGCCATTCCCTGATCACAGCGTGGTTTCAGGCTGCCAGAACTAACTGAGGAAATGTTTGCTTTCTTTCCAAAGGTCTCGAGTTTCATCAGGGAACAGGCCCATGAGCAGTTCCAAATGATAGTGATTTCCCTGAAGGAGGAGTTCTTCTGCAAGGCAGACGCCTTGCTTGGAGTGTGTCCAGAGGTAACAATCCATTAGGGGCAGGTTTTGTTCAGTGATGCTGGGGGGTGGTGTGGAAGTGCTGGTTCCCACCTGCAGTGTTTGGTGGCTGGGTGTGCCCTGCTGTGCAGGGACAGGCTCCAGGGAATGTCCTGTGGCAGCTCAGGCTCGGTGTTGTCTCTCACACTTATGAAATGCTTATTTCAAGTAAGAGAAACATGTTCCCTGCTGTGATCTCCCCCTTCCCAGCACGATGACATCATGTTCAGCAAAGTGCTGACCCTGGATCTCACCGAGTTCCCGGAGCAGGAACAGCAGGACAGGGCAGAGAAGCCCAGACGCAGCTCTGTCCTGGGGTAGCACGTGGACAGAACCAGGGCACAGCAACAGCAACTGGGTTCACAGCTGACTGGGGCAAATGTGAGTTGGAACGTGGCTGTTGGAGGTTGATATGGGAATGTTTGTTCACTTTCCAAGGGAAGCAGTTTTGCAAAACAGTCATGGAAGGAGCTGTTCCTCCTTCGTGCAGTTTGGTTGAGGGGTGAGAGCGCCCGAGGTTGGTGCTGAGGTTGTGCACACTGCTACACAAAGTTCTCCCCCAGTGTTCGGGGGGGTTGGGCTGTAAAGATGAAGGGTGCAAGTTCATAAGCACAGCATCCCCAAGCTGGGGTACAGAACACTGTTGGAGGGAGATGGAATCACTTCATCTGGCCTGTGTTCCCCCTCTGTGTGTGCTAAGAGCTTCCCATGGTTTATGGTTGTTCATAATAATTGTAATGTTCACAGAGCAGGTTCCTTTTGTCCCCCAGACTGCCTACACACACCTGCCTTGTTGTGTGCTGGGAGCCCTGGGTTTGTGCTCCCTGCTGGGCACACAGGAACATTCCAACCACATCCAGGTGCCCACTGCTCCTGCAGGCAGATGTTCATCAAACACTTGTGTTATGGCCACACTTCGTTAATAAATTAATTTGAGGCATGAATTTATGTGAGTGCCTTCATTGAGAATCCAGTGACAGATGTGGAAAGACCTCTGGCAGTGTGAAGGGTGGATGGAGGAGCAGCCTCAGTGGTGTCCAAAGGTCTCTGACCTACAGCAGTCTGGGTGCTGCTAATACACAAGTCCTGGTTTGTTTGGGGGGTTTTAACCATTTGCTGGGAACGGGTGGTTGAGACAGAAAAATGCAGTGAAGAAAGGAACAGCCTGAAGAACGGGGACAGCTGTTACACAGGAACAGTTTACTTTATATATTTTATTGAAAGAGTGTATGTCACCTTCAGAGATGTCCTTCCAAATTCATTACACAGCTTGAGCAGAACAGGGTAATGTCATGGTCAACAGGTTGGTTTTCAGTAAGTACCTTACTCCCATTTGAAAAAAAAAAGGTTATGAATGAAGTAGAAAAAGAGCCCTGGGCAATGGAATCGCCACCAGCCTTGAACATGCCCCTCTGTGGGATCAGCTTTTCCAAGCCACTCAAGTAATAATTCTGTCTGTGTGGTGCCCCAGTGGGAGAAGTACCAGTCCCTGGGGCAAAGAGGTGCTGCAGTGCCCCACCTTCACCCTTAGAGTAGTTCAACCCACAGCAAAGGTCCACACCAGGAATTGTCTGCAGATCCATCCCAGGATACTGACTGGGCTTCATTCCACTGCAGCAGGACTCTGTCACCTGCTGTCCAAGGCAAGGGGCAGCACAGCCTGTGGTGTAACAGCTTGTAAAACATGTCCACAGAAACCCCCAGCAGAGAGGTCAGGGAGCCCTGTGGATACAGCACTGGTACAGCCCTTCCTGCCTCACCAGACTCAGGAAAACAAACCCTCGTGCTGAAAGTGAAAAGCAGGTGGGTCACTGTGCTGTGGGCTCCAGAACTGTGGAACACCACTTCCTGTTCCTCAGGGTTTAGGGATCTGAAGCCTGGAAGCAGCCCTGTGCTGACAGACCCCTGGAGTGCAGCCTCCACAGCACACCCACAGTCCAGTTGATGGGAAAGGAACCGAAACCCCTTGGTTTCACAGGCTTCTGTGCCAAAAGGCATTTTTGAGAGATTCCAAAGTTACCTCTCTTGTGCCTTCACCTGAGCAGAGTCTGGTCCAAAGGGCTTGAGAGAAGTTGCACCCACTTGTCTGACCCTGCAGGTACAGCCTGAGGGTCTGGCCGTGCCAGGGGAGTGACTGGTGGCTCCAGCTTCACACACATCACACATTTACAGCTTTAGAAAGGAAAGGCTAATATGTACAGTTTTATTCCACTTAAAACCATGGAAATACCAGCTCAAAACTTTCCATGCAGCAGACGTAAAACACCTACTGTTAAAAAGCTTCTGGGGTGCTTTGGTGTTTGGGGTTTTTTCATTCACTAATGGGTGTATCTGACTGCTTGATCCTCTTAGGAGAGTCAGTGCCACTTTCTCCCAGCTTCCTTTTAGCACAGTCCACACATGAAGTTCCTGGGGAGGGAGAAGGAAAAAACCCCAAATTGTTGCTACATACATGTGCTTGGTGTAATTTTTACTATAAGCACCAGATACAAAGGTAAACACAGTCCTGGTCCCGTGAGGTTCTTGGGTTTGGATTCTGAATTATATATAACAGTAACCCTGCTGAAAGTCTGTTTTACTTGGTCTGTATTCCAAATTACAAGTAAACAGGAGCTAAAATCACCTCTAAGGAGCTTTATGTTAAGAATAAATTGTGCTCAAGTTTTTGGTTTCTCCTTTACTGATGCCTAATTTTACTTTATTGAAAATGGGATTCGTGAACTCAGTTGCAAGACAGGTAAGCCTAAGATCCAGTTGGAATTACAAACCTAATCTCTGACTTTACACCTGCCCACAGGTGTCTGGGACCTTGTGTGCTCTGTGGTTGGGAAAGAGTGGGGGGTTCTCCTCCTTCACTGCCTAAGACCCTCCTGCACAGTAATGGAATACTACTTTTATACACTTCTGATGTTCCCTGCAGCAGCACAGAGATCTCAGGAGTGGGATCTTTCTACATTGTTTCAAAGGGAAGTTTTGCTATTTTACACCATAAACTGGAATGTATTATTGCTCAGCTTATTCTGTGAAGTATCACAAAGTCCCTGAACAGCTTAGCTGAAAATTCACCGTCAGTACCACACGCTTGAGATTCACTCTTCCAGACCTCCTTAAGGAAGGCTTTGGAACAGAAACCTGAGCTTGGAAATCTAAGTCAAAACCTCATGGATATTAGTATTACCTTAGAGTACTCTAGGCAGCATTAATAACTTTTTATATACATTTCCTGGAGCTCTTCCTTTCTATCATTTATCATTTGATAGATAATGAAACCCAGCAGTTACCTGCTGATAAGCAGAAAGAAAATCAGAGGGGAAAAAAGAGAGCGTGCAGCAGACTTTGGGAGGTAAAGTAGAGCAGTGCCCAGTAATCATTTAGTTACTTTGGAAACAAGAGATGTATTTTTCTCTCTTTGGTAGGATTATGGAACTTTCTGAGACAGTAAAAATGTTACTTACCCAGCAGGGTTGTGCTGTCCACCCGATCAGCATCTAGAGAAGTGTGAGAGAGCAGCAGCACAGGTTACCATGCAGAAAGCTTTTATAATTTAGGCACCATCCCAAAACAGCAAGGTTGTGTTTAGAATCCCCAAATGGTTTTTGGTTGGGAGAGACCTTGTAACTGAGATCACAAGGCTTTCAAGTCTGGGTAAGGTCCCTCTTCTCACGTCTGATGCCAATCAGGAATTCCCAAGGAAAAGGGGAGCATTTTGCAGTCATTTCCATTTAGACCTTAAGCAAACCTGTCTTCCTCCCTGGCTGCTCTGCAGTAAATTGGATTCTCCAGACTGAACAGGCTCTAGGTACTGCTCAGACTATGAAAACTACATCCATCAACACCAGCAGGCTGAGTTCAGTGTCTGGAACTGCACACCAACTTACTTTTAGTTGTCTACACTGCAGATAAACGTCCTGAAACCTCCATGCTGTGCTAAATATTTTTTTCTAGCCTCCATGGAAAGAAAAACATAATGCAGTCTAACTGGAATATTCATCAGGTCACAAAAAGCAGGCTATAATTTGGGCATGCACCTGCAGTTTTCTTTCAGGGGGAGCAAGGGGAAGGTTCCTGCTCTGCACCACTTGGAGTAATTTTAGACAAAACAGTTTCACTGAGTTGATAAATAAAAGAGCTGTCAAATAGTAATTCTTCCCAAGGTCATTTAGTTATTTTCCTCAGTTCTCAGGATAAACCATAGCAGACCAGTCCTTGTTTGGAAAACATGAAAGGAATCTCTTTCCTCTGACAGAATTGTTTCTCCCCATTAGCCCTGACTGTGATAAACCCAACGTTTATTGGAGGCACGGATTTAATTTCCCATTCTATGCTTGATCAGATACTGTGGCTCAACCAGGTTATCCCACCAGGTAATTCCTTCAATTCCTTCAGTCTCCTGACACGACAGATTTCAGATAATATAACACTCAGTAGGCTGGAATAGTTCACGCCAAAAAAATCCGCAAAGTGAACATCTTTACCAAATGCTAACAAAAAGGCAAATTCAGAATTCAAGATTAGAGTTGCAAGAATCCACAGACCTCCAAAATCCACAGATTTCCAAAACCAGATCTGGTCACAGTTTGGCCACGTGTTCCAAGCCTGCATGTCCCTCAGGAGCCAAGGAGCTGCACACGAGGTCAGCACCTCGTGCAGGGCTCACACAGGGCACTGCTGGGCACCTGTTCAATCCAGCCTGTGCTGGTGAGGAGGCCACGTGCCCTGGATTTTCCTTACCTGGGCTCCTCTGCTTGCAGATCTGAGCAGTGAGATCCTGGACGTACTCTGGGAATTGCTGGAAGCAGTCCCCGTAGGACACCACCTTTATCCCGTGCAGCAGCATGTCTGCCTGCAGCTTAAAAAAGTGGTCTTCGTTTTCTTTAAGCACCAACATGTAATGCTCTAAATCCACTTTGTTCTTTACTGTGTAGAGAAAAAGGGCTTGGAATATCTGGTCACGCAGAGTCTCCCCACAGCCCAAAAACAGGAAGGACTTGGTCCGGTACAAGTTCTGAAGAACTTCCTGTGAAGGGACAGAAACAAACAAAAGCCACATTTACTTCAGCAGGCAAAGCCAAGGTCAGGACTTCTAAAATAAGGCAGGCTGAAAAGGAGCAGCAGAGCAGAACCTTCACTAGGGAGCTGAAAGAAGCAAATGTTTTAGGGCCAGGCCAAACTGACATTTTGTAACTATTGTTTCTACCAGAAAAGAAAAAAAATCCAAGTTATACAAATACATGGCGGTTAGAACTAGGTGACCTCTAAGGTCCCTCCCAACCCAGGCCATTCTGTGAAGTTTAAACAGACACATAAGTGTTGCCAGCAAGGGAAATTAAACTGAAAGAATTGTGATGACAGAATACTGGGCTCCCGTTAGGTCAGTCTGTAAATAAGGAGAATTAATATTCTTGACCGAATGTTTGAGTTCCTAAACCAGCTAAGATACGACATTCAGACAAGGATCCAGAGCTGGTAGCAGCTTAAGCCCCTAAATCACGAATCCAAGCAATCATATGGTGATGAATCCTTGTCCTGGTGTCCAGTATTTTGGGGCTCCTGTTCTTTCCTAAGACAAATACAAAGAACTGCAACTGAGACATCCAGCTGAGGGGTTTGACTGTGATTTAGCAGGAGTATATGAGGGCACTGCCCTGGCAACACAGCTGCCTTTCTGAATAATTCTGAATCATTTCTCTGGGCCCCAAGTATTTTGTTTATATGACCCCACACAGCCCCAGCCTTAGGTAACATGTCTGCAGTGATTACGATAAAACAGTTCGGCAAAACATGGTAAAAAATGTAAAGATCACACAAACCATGACTTCAGGATCCTGAGTAACATCCTTATATCCCGAGGGATCGAGCACCATTCCACAGGGATCTGTGTATAAGCCATGAATGTGAAGAACTCCATATTTTACGTGGCCTCTCGCCCACTGAAGAACCTGAA